GTTGAGAAACTAAGCGAGTGTGAGGGACCCAACCGTACGAGTACCTCCGCTGACCATATGAAGCCATGGCCGAAACATCGAGGGATAGACTTAAACATTGACGAATTGACGGATTATGACACTGAAGACTATATCCAAGCATCGGACGGCATCGAGGTCGATGCCGGTTGTCGAATGGCCGAGTGTGGGAACCGGGAATTTTCCGCGGTTGGCAGCGCCGAGAAACCGGAAGAAGAAGCGAGCTTTGAGTAGAGAGGAGAGGGGAGAGTCAGTTGAGAAGGAGAATCTTCCGTGAACGGTCACGCCATTGCGCTTTTATCTGTATCGAATAAAGTCTCTTTTACCAGTGAACTTCGTATCCTGATTTCGGATCCTACATATCTGTTGTAATTTCAATTTTTACATTTTGTGATCTTGTTACAGCAAATCAATTTAATAGAATGTTTTTATTGTATAGAAATGTTCAATGATATTTCTTGTTTATTTTCTTTTAATTGAAAGTAATCCTCTTTTTCTTCTTATATATTTTAATTTTCTTAGATTACATAAAGTTAGGCATTGTAACATGCAAGAGCATACGTATAACAATATACAAATATATACACAAATAGATGGGACTTCCGGTTCCGGAACATAGAAGGTGACAGGTGTGAACATAGCGGAGATAAAGTGATAGAAAAGTGCGACACAGAAAGGGTGGGAGAGAGTGAGAGTAGCGGGACGGCAAGGGATGGAGGTGTGAGACGGCGGAGGAGAAAGAGTTAAGCGGGGGCGAGATCGGTTAAAAGGTGAAAAGTGAAGAAAGTGGCTGGAACGAAGTGACAGTTGAGGCATAGACGGTAAGTAACATAGAGAGGCGACAGAACGTAGGAAAGAGGCGCGAAAGCGGGCATAGACTAGCTCAGTCATAGAAGGGAAGCTCGGATATAGAAGGAATAGTAGGACGTGCACGCAGCCATAGGATACAAAAAAGAAAGAGGGATAGGCAAATCAAGAACAACGGATGGATAAAGAGAAGGAAATAGAATCAGAAAGTGCACAACAGGGAGATAAAGGAAAGAAGGGGGAAGGCGAAGGCGAGAAGAAAGCGAGAGGCAGACCAACGAAGGCGGAGGAGTTAGCCAAATTGAGAAGAACGGACAGTACAGGATCGGTCAAGGAATTCTTTCAGAAGAGTGAGAAAAGGAAGAGAGAAGAAGAGGTGGAGGAAGCAGCGAATGCGGAGAAAAAAATTCTAAAAGAATTTAACGCACAAAGAAGGGTCAACAGATCACCGCCGCCCAAAATCAAAAAAGAAAAGCAGGGAAAAGAAAATATGGCGACGGAAGAATTACTGGAGAAGGTTAAAGAAATTTTGAAGAAAATGGAGGAACAAAAGGGAGAAAAAAAGAAAGATAAGGAGGAACAAAAGAAAAAAAGGAAAAGAGATAAAGAGGAAATAAAAAACGAAATTAGGGAACTGAGGGAGGAATTGAGGAGAAGCGAGGAGATATGGGAAAATCAAAGAAAGACCCTGGAAGGAAGAATTAAGAATTTAGAGGAGAAGGCGGAGAAGATAGAAGTAAACATGTCAATGAGTGAGGGAGGGGAGATAATAAGGAAAATGAAAGAGATAGAAAGAAATATGGAGATGGCAGAAAGAAGAAGGAGAGTAAACATAATTGTAAGAGAAGAGAAAACAGGAAATGAAAAGGAAAGAAAAGAAAAAACCGAGAAGTTGATAGAAGAAATAAATAGAGCGAAAATGGCCATCGAGGAAGTACAAAAAATTGGACATGGAGAATTTAAGATGAAAGTCCTGAGATGCAGAAATTGGGATAACAAACGAGAGATAATGATGAGAAAGAAAGAGCTAGGAAAGAAGTATGGCTGTTTTCTGAATGACGACCTTACTAAAGAAGAAAGGCAGATACAGAAAGAGTTAAGAAAGATAACAAGGGAAAAAAGGGAGGCAGGAAAATGGGTAACGGTCGGTTACCAAAAAATATGGGAGGATAATAAGGAATGGAAATGGAACGAAAACAAAGAAGCGCTAGAAGAAAGGGATCACTTTCGCAGATAAGAAAGAAAAGAAGAAGGATAAAGAAGGGCTAAGCATGATGAACGAGAGAAGGAGGGAAGAGATACAAGAAAGAAGACAGGAAAGGTCCAAGGAGATAGAAGAAAAGCGGAACACACCAGAAGAAACCAGAAAGGACGAAGAAAGTATAAAGGAGGTAGATGAGGAAAATATTAGAGGAAACAGAATAAGGGAAGTCGAGGGATAAGAGAAAAAATATATAGGAGAAGAGGAAAGAAACGACGGGGAGAGTGAAGAGACGTGGAAAGTAGCCTTTTGGAACGTAGCTGGTTTAACAAACAAGGATAAGGACTTCTGGGAAGGGATAAAAGAATGGGATGTGATTGTGATGATGGAGACTTGGACTGATGAGAAAGGATGGGAGAAGGTGAAGGAGAAGCTACCGAGAGAATATAGATGGAGAGTACAGATAGCAGCCAAGAGGAACAAGAAAGGCAGAGCGTGCGGAGGCATGTTGCTAGGAATAAGGAAAAGCATAGAAGAGATAAAGGAAAAAAGGGAGACGGAGGAAGAAAGAAAAATCGAAGGTAAGATAAGAATAGGAGAGGAAGTATGGAGAATAATAGGAATCTATGTAAACAACAATATAGACGAGAAACTAGAAGGTCTGAAAGAAAGGACAGAGGAGGGGGAAAAAGGAGTAAGGACCATAATAGGAGGTGACTTTAACGCGAGAACGGGAGAGGAAGGAGGATGGTAAGAGGAAATCGAGCGAAGAGAGGAAAGAGGGAGGAAGTCTAAAGATAAGAAGATAAATAAAGAAGGCAAAAAGTTACTGGAGTTTATCGAGGAGAGAGGATATATGATATTAAATGGAGGCACAAAGGGGGACGAGGAGGGAGAATATACATACACAGGGGGAAGAGGTGAGACAGTCATAGATTACATAATAGGGGACGAGGAGGTTAGAGAAAAGGTAGAAAGACTGGAAGTAGGAGAAAGGATAGATTCGGACCATCATCCATTAATACTATGGGTGAGGGGAAGCTCAAAGAGAAGGCAAAAGAGGAGAGGAACTAAAAAAATGAAAAGAAGGGGAGTATGGAATGAGGAAGGAAAGACGCAATTTAAGGAGAAGTTAGGCGCGATTGAAGGAAAAAGAGACCTGCAAGAGGAAATAGAGGAAGGAACAAGGAAGATAAGAAGGGTGATTGAGGAGAACGAGGACAAGAATGAAAGAATGACTATCAAGAACAAAAGAGGGTGGTGGGACGAGGAATGTACGGAGAGCAAGAGGGAAGTGAGGAAAGAACTAAGGAAATGGTGAAAAAGGAAAGAAGAAGCAGAAAGATACAGAGAAAGAAGGAAAGAATATAGGGAAATGTGTGATAGAAAGAAGAAGGAGGAGAAAGAAAGAATGATCAGAGAGATTGGAGAAGCGAAAACGGAGGGAAAGGTATGGGAGTTGATAGGCAGAGTAAGGAAGAGAAGAAGAAGGGTGAATGAAGAGATAAAACCGGAAGAGTGGAAGGAGTATTTCATGGATCTGATGGGTGGAGTGGAGAACAGAGTGGTAAAGGGAGAGGGAGACAGAAGCAGACAGGAGGAAGAAGAGATAGGACTAGAAGAGATAAGAAACGTAATAAAGAAACTAAAGACGGGAAAAGCAATAGGCAATGACGGGATACCTAACGAGGCATGGAAGTACGGAGGAGAAGAAATGGTGAAATGGATATGGGAGGTATGCAAACGTGTCGGGAGAGGTGAAGGCTGGCCGGAACAATGGAAGGAAGGGGAGATAATCCCATTAGTTAAAAAAGGAGAAGGGCGAGAGGTGAAGGACTATAGAGGAATAACCATCATGTCTTCGATGTACAAAATCTACACGGCGGTACTAGCGGAAAGAATAAGAGAAGAAGTAGAAACGAAGAAATTGATCCCCGATAATCAAACGGGATTCAGGAAAGGAATGGGAACGATGGATCAAATATTCGCTTTGAATTACCTGGTGAACAGACAAATAGGAAAAGAGAAAGGAAAGATGACAGTGTTTTTTGTGGATCTGAAGGCTGCCTTCGACTCAGTGGACAAAAGAGTATTAATAAAGGCAATGAGAGAAAGAGGAGTGAGACAAGGACTGATAGACAGAGTAGAGGAAGTATTGAGGGAAACAAAGAGCAGAGTAGGGAAAGGAGGAGAGAGTGATGGTCAATTTTGGACGGCGAAAGGCCTGAGACAGGGATGCCCACTAAGCCCAATATTATTCAACCTATTAATCGCAGACATAGAGGATCATATAAAAAAAGGCGGATGGGGAGGAGTGAAATTAAGAGGCGAGAAAATATACACGCTAATGTATGCAGATGATATTGCACTGCTGGCAGAGGAGGAGCAGGACATGAGATCGATGATAAGCAG